TTATTAGTATGTAAAATTAAATAACATATATATATATATATATATATATGAGAAAGAGAGAGAGAGAGAGAGAGAGAGAATTCTCTCCAAGTATTCCTCCCTGGTTTCATTACCTATTCATTCAAGAAATCTCTAGCCATGTCCCACACATTTCTAAGTCTGGTTCCTGCGCACACATTTACGCTCCTAATTATTTGACATCCTTTCTTTATCATGCCAACGCGCCATCACAAAAGCCTCCTCTTTTTTGTCTCAACACAAACTGTCGCACCTGCTGTGGTATGTCATCAAACCTTTTACGTGCTTCACTTTACGGGCATCAATTCAAAGCGCTCATGCTGGGAGAAAATAAAGCACTGCTGAATCAGTCCTCGGTGGCAGCAATCAAACAATAAAAGCAAAGGTAAAGGGTATCAGCATGTGACCTCTAGGCCTCTTGTCATTTCAGGGGTGGATGGAAAGAAATAACAACAGTAAAAAAAAAAAAGAGTTAACCTCTCTGGCCTTCCACATTTCAACTAGGACCTTAATAATATATTTAAGATCATGCATCAAGGGACCTGCTGTCTTCTTCATGAACACACTTGCTTTGTGATGGACCTTTAAAAGAGCTTTTTACCTTGGCGATCCTTGTGTTTACCTGGAACACAACGTTCATCAAATGTTACAAAGAACTGAGAACTGCACAGGAATGCTAACACCCCTTGGGCTGAAAAAATCACTACATTATTTTAGGCAGAGAATGAAAACATGGTTATGTAATGAGAAGAGATATGTTTGAATGGTCTCTAACATTTCAGACGGGATAAAACCTTCTAAGACAATCTCAAGGAGTAGTTAGCACAAAAATGAAAATGTTCCCATCATTTACTCATATTCAAGCTGTTTCACTGTAGCATTGTTTTTTTATTTTTTTTTCTGAGCAGCACACATGCATATCTGAGGCAGAATATCCTTAGGCAGCTTCTCCACAGAAACAAAGTGGAGGATAATTTCAAATGACAAGTCCCAAAAAAGACTAAGATATATCATAGAAGTCATCCATATGCCCGGTGAACGATGTTCCAAGTCTTTTGAAGGTATACAATGGCTTTGAGCAAGTTACAGACCAAACTTGAAGTCATTAGTTATAATCTTTCCACATTTAAAGAAAGCTATTAATTAAGAATACATGAATTATTGTGCTCTTTCCTTATGGACCAGTTTAATGGTGCCTTTTTCCGTTATTTTGGAGCTTGATAACACCAATACCATTATGGCAAGGTTGGGCCCCGATCAGAAAGAACATATTTTTTTGCAGTGAGAGGCACCTTTTTAAAAAAAAATTTTTTTTTTTAAATGTTTTCTATTTGCAGTGAACTGTGACGGGAAAATGTCCGCACCTGCACGCAAACTCTGACCCATCCATACAGACCTTTTTTTTTTGTTTCCTGGCGAGAGAAAAGTAATGAAGTAAACAATGATTTTAAACTCTGTTTTCATGTCGATATACACATTTACTTTCCACTCTCAACTCTCATTAATGGAGAAATTACATAACTGAAATTACATAAAGTCATTACACAGAAGTTAATATTATATGTTATATGAATTTAGACATTATTTAGAATTTAGCCAATTGGATGCACTTGATCACTTTTCCTGTGGCATGCTATGTTTTAATCTCAGCGAGGAGTGCTATGAGCACAATAATTCATCTTTAAAGCTGCAGTCCGTAAGTTTTGCCTCATTGTCGCCATCTCTGTTTGAAAACCTGCAATTGCAGCTGTGT